GTTGCTTCCTACTCTAAGTTAAAAAAGAAAGATAAAAATTTCCATGCGGTTAGTCAAGGTTTTCTGAAGTTTTGCAAAAATAAAGAGATCTGTAGATTGCAAATCCAGGGTAGCAGCTGTTTGAATATCATGACGTTATTATCGAGCTGTACGACGTCAGTCGCTCTTGTTAAAGCCACATCGTCAGTTATATCCTCATTCCTCATTTCGTTTGGCATTGTTCGTAAGCAGATCGTAAAAACAGTTGTCTCGGTTAAAGAATGTCTGTTGATAGCAATTCCAATTCGTAAATTTCAGCCAGGACATCTTTTATACCACCCGAAGATCCCTCCAGGAGATTTGAACGTTATGCGAATCAGACCGGCAAGTCACCAAGCCAAACTGGAAAAGTACCAGCAGCAGGAGTATCACCTGTACCAGGAGTACCACAAACACCTCCATCAGCGATTTTACCAACAAAACCTGTGATAGGACCAGGAGGTCAGACACCAGGTAATATTGGTCCAGCAGCAGGGGTATTACCTATACCAGGAGCGCCACAAACACCACCATCAGCGATTTTACCTGTGATAGGACCAGGAGGTCAGGCACCAGGTAATATTGCTCCAGTGCCTGGTCACTCTGGAAACGTACCAGAAGCAGGAGTATCACCTGTGCCAGGAGCACCACAAACACGTCCATCAGCGATTTTACCAACAAAACCTGTGATAGGACCAGGAGGTCAGACAGCAGGTAATATTGCTCTAGCACCTGGCAACACTGGGCAAGTGCCAGCGGCAGGAGTATCACCTGTACCAGGAGCGCCACAAACTTCACCATCAGTGATTTTACCAACAAAACCTGTAATTGGACAAGGAGGACAGACACCGGGAAATATTGCTCCAGCACCTGGCCTCACTGGACAAATACCAGCAGCAGGAGTATCACCTGTGCCAGGAGCGCCACAGACATCTCCATCAGGTAACAGTCCTCCGGCAAATCAACCTACTTCCAGTTCTTCTGGTATATGGCCAACCAAATCGACAGGCCCAGATAATGGGCCTGAACCAGCGGCTCCTTTAGTGCCTGTCGAAGGTAAGGTGGCTTTACCAAACCTTGATGATAAATTTTGGCTGTGGTAGTGTTATAACAATTACAAATGCTTCTAAATGGGTCTTGAAAGTATACATTCAATATCCATCGTACTTACGTCTAGACCTCGTGAGAATGGAAAACAAGTTAAATTTATACGACTTTATAATGCATGGGTTTTGCGTATTCGTATTTTAGTGTTACCTTCATCTGGCGTTTTAACTTATTTATTTATTCATTTATTTATTTGTTTGTTTGCAGACGAAAAGCTTGACCTTGCCTTCTTAATCGATGGATCGGCTACTATGTCAAATGCTGGATTTCAAGCTAGTAAGGTGTTCATAAAGGCATTATACAGTAACTTCCCCATTGGCGAAGATTCTACTCATGTTGCTTTAGTGGTGTATGGTAAAGACTCACTAGTAGTATTCAATCTAACTGGAAACACAGACAAAGAAAGCATTGATAAGAAGCTACTTCACACTGCAAATCCAAGTTCTGATGGAAACTTCATGGGCAGGGGTCTTAAAACTGTTAAGGAAAAAGTTTATGACGTCAGTGCAAGGCCGGGAGGACATCAGGTGTTAGTATTACTTGTGGCAGGAAAATCTCTGGATGATGTCCAGGCACCCTCACGTGTCCTGAGAGACGAGGGTGTCAAGATTTTCTGCATTGTGATTGGCGACAAAGTGGACGTAGATCAAATTAGAGATGTTGTAAGTGTTCCTGAGGACGATCATTTGGCAGCAACAAGCTCAGAACAGCTGGGGAAGCTGTTGAGTCCAATTGTGCAGAATATTAGGAAAGGTAATTAACCCTAGAATAAGATACTAGAAGATATTTATTATCAGCAGGCGTCAAATATTTTGAAATGGAAATGTAAATGTCAAAAACGCTTCTTTGCCACTTAGGTGACAAATTTTTCAAAATAAAAGCACCGTCCTTATCAATTATCCTATTTGGGTCCCTCGAAATGATTACAGTCCACTCCTGAGCCTACTGGCCCATAATTTGCCTGCGCTTTAATTTAACGTTTGTATCATGAATCCATTAGAAACATTGTCTACGTCTCTCTAGGGTGGAAGTGCTAGTCCATAGTAAGGGTCCACTCTGGGCTTTGTAGCTCGACAAGTCAAATCTATTTATTCGAAAGTTCATTTTGATACAAATTTATGTTGAAATGAAGACACACCGATCCTGTTTAATCGACTTTACTTTTTCCTAGCTATAACTGAATCAGTAATTCACACAGGACCGACAAGTAAGTAGGTATCTTATGCTATACAACTAGTACCCTCCTATTAAGCCTATCGCTTTTAATTGAATGTTGTTTATACTCGAAAAACGAAAAGAAAAAAAAATACACTACTTTAATTATATCTATGGATTAACAAAAACGTTTACTGTCAAAAGTAGGTGAGATTTCTAGTGATGAAAGTATTTTTCCAATTTGACTCCCTAACTAATACTCATGCATATTACAATTTTATGCGGTTAACCTTGGACGTTTTGTGGTACTTCAAGACATTTTTTTTTTCGTGTGAACGGAATTTTCGCGTTCTAGTGGATTATATTCTCGTGAAAATCTAAAGATTTTGTTCATTATTTCAGATGTCAAAATGGAGCTGGCATTTTTAATTGATGTCAATTCCAATAACTTCAGACCTGATCAATTTGACAATGTGTTAAATTCCGTAAAATCAACATACGCAGCGTTCATAATCGGCAAAGACAAGACTCGAATTGGTGTTGTCACCTACAGCGAGCGCCCTCGGACAGCGGTATCCCTGGATCAATATACTTCACGACAGTCACTTGACACTGCAGTGGATCAAACATTAATGTCACCACTGACTAGTCCAAGTCTGCTTGGACAGGGTCTTTCTGCTGTTAAGCAGTTATTTTATGGCAAATCTCGTCCGGAGACTCCCAAAATTCTTGTTGTTATCACTGGTGGAAAATCTAGAGACGACGTCATTAAACCATCAGCTGCGTTAAAAGTTCTAAACGCGACGATATTCTGTGTTGGGGTTGGACAGAACATCGACAGAAGTGAGCTTGAAACTGTTGCATCTACTCCAACGAGCGGTCATGTTATCATGGCAGCTATATCGCACCGAGAAACCGCCGGAGAAAACCTTGCGTCCAGGATTAAGAAAGGTGAGGTCTGACGATTCGACCCTCCAGTTTTCCCTTTTGTCAGTTTACTCTCTGACGTAAAATTCTACTTCATCATCCGCAATTTGGACACGTAAATGCAGTCTATTTTTCCATGTTCATGTTAATTTTGGAGGGTAGCTACTAACAGCATTCTATTTATCTGTCCACCATATTTTTTTGGGACTCAGCTCCGTCAACTTTCTAGCAAAAGAAAACGAACATTTCTTGTCACAATTCTTTATTTTTCAATACATAGCATCTTACAAGATCCTAGAAATAACTTCAAGGCACGCGCCTCGGTTCACTTTTTATTGGCTACGATCTAAATAAGTTTAAGTTAATTTTGTTATTAACAGCGGGTATTGATCAGTGCCATCAAGGCCTAGGCATTTTTTATTCATTTGTTTATTGATCTATTTATTATTTACTTATTCATTTATTTATTTATTTTATTTTCGTCCATAAGACTTGAAAACTAAAGTTGAAATAAAGTATCTTCTTACTTGCAATGAGTTTTACATGTTTTTCTTTGCAGCTGTTCTAGTTGACCTCGGATTCCTGGTTGAAGGATCAGAAAACGTATTAGAAGCAGAATTCCTGCAATATATGGAAATCGTGAAGTATATCTACAGCGCGTTTCCCATTTCGTCAGAAAATGTCCAAGTCGGACTTGGTGTGATTTCAAGCAATCCTGAGATTGTGTTCAGCTTCGACAAGTACTTTGATAAGACAAGCCTCGACTCGGCAGTAAACAGTGTTGAATATCCCGGAATTCAGCAGGTTGCGAACATTGGACAAAGCCTTCTCGTTGCTAAGGAGACCTTTTATGGCAAGGGTGCAAGAAAAGGAGTTAGAAAAGTCCTTATCGTATTGGTCAATGGCAAATCTAATGACGAGATCTCTGAACCTGCCAGACGACTTAGAGACAGTGGAGTGGAGATATTTTGCTTTGCAGTTGGAAGTAGAGTAGACGTCCAGGAATTAACTGAAATCGCGACGCACCCCACTAATAATCACATAGTAACGGAGAGTAACGGCTTGACGAAGGGGGCCAAGAAACTCATTGAACTGTTGGAAGTTGCTAAAGTGGAATCTGGTAACTTATAACATAGTAAACCTCGATGGGAATACAACAAACTTTCCTTAGAGTACAGGATCTATTCTCAATGCCAATTATACAGGTGATCGATAGCCTTGGGGGGAGGTGACCGAGGAAATATTAAAAGGAGTGCACCAACATAGTCTGTGTTTACTCACGCTCAAATCGGCAATAGATTTAGAACTGGCAAAATTGCTAGCAACTGAAGTAGCATAACTGAAAAAATTGATTTTATGTTTTTGTGTCTTATCTATTTTGAAGCGAAGTATCTTCTGTATGCGAGCTTATTCTGTTTTGCTTCCTAATACAGATCAAGAACAAGTAACTAAGCCGCAGATTTTTTCTCCAGAAAAAGGAAGTATGGATTTAATTTTATAGCTAAACTGTCACTGATGACATTACTTTTCAAAAGTACTGCAATTTGACTATTACGTTCTTTGGGCTTTTCTTTAAGGGCACATAGTTGTGTTTCATTTTGGGATAGACAGGAAGGAAACTGTTTTTGCTAAATCGATTATTACAGTGTTATTTACTTGCATGCAGGACCAAATTGCAAAGATAAACAATCATGATTATAAGTACGTCCTTTTAGCGAAGCTCACTTTATGTTGTTTTGCAAACAGACCCTGTTGATCTGGTCATCCTTATCGAGGGAAGTTATAATACCAGACCTGGAGACTTTGAGCAAGTGAAAGAAATTGTGAAAGCCATCTGTTACAGCTTCGACGTTTCCCAGAATGGAACTCATGTAGCCATGGCCGTCTATTCTGAAGAAACACGGATCATCTTTAATTTTAACAAGCATTATGATCTCCAAGGCATGGATGACGACATCAGTGCTGCCTCACACCTTCCCGGTGCAAGCATGGCGGGACGTGCCCTTCGGGACATAAAAACAAACTTTTTTGATCAATATGCTCGACAGGCTGTTCCTAAAGTTTTGATTACTATTATGACAGGAAAGCCTGATGATGAAATCGAAAGAGCTGTGAATGAACTCAAAATGGTATGTGTCTTGATGTTTGCCTTGGGTCTCACCTCCAACTATAACCCGCAGAGTTTGAATCTGGCCTCAGGTGAACCTCATTCGGAATATGTGTTCATCAGCGAAACTTTTCCGGTGGCTAGTTTGGTTGGGCAGAAAATGGCTGACAAAATAAAGAAAGGTAAGTTATGGTGTTAAATAAACTTAATCAAAAACTATTATCCTTTTTTGAAGGTTAGCCCATATTGTTTTCCTTAACACTAAAACCGAAAAGCAGGGCATAAATATTTGTTCGTGGGCTCCGAGAGAAGATGGTAGAGGGTGTAAATGTGTGCATTCTGGTATGATGCTGTGGATAACAAGAATCCTAAATTAATTATTCAGACGTTTTAGGAAGCTTTGAATACTAATCCGACAGGTGTTCCTCGAGCATATCTCTTGAGAAAGCGAAACATCGGGTAAAGAAATAACCAAACAAATAAACAAATGGTTTCGCTGTTTCTCTTGGTTTAATTAGCTTCAAAGGGAGAGTATCAAAAGGGAAAGTACTCAACATGTATAAGTAGTGGTAATAGGACTGAGTGGAGTCCAATTCGGTCGGTTATCATAAGAGTGATAACAAAATCGGACGACCGCGCAGCTGGAGTCCGATTTGTTTATCACGAGTATGATTACAAACCGAATTGGACGACACGAAGTCTTATTACCAATTAATCAAAAAAATTACAATTTCCGAGAAAAGAATAGCCAAGCTATGAAAGAAAGGGAATTTTTGCATTAAAGCACCTCCAAAGGAGATGTAAACATTCTAAGGCCACCGCGCCTCCTACCGGCAATTAGGCGCCAAAAACACAAAAGCGCACGCACGCACGCACCCACGTAACTACAACTTTTAATGTGATTGGTTGATTTAAGCTACAACTTTGAATGTGATTGGCTTATTGAACTGTCCGATAACAAACTGTCCAATAACAAACTGT